ATACTAATATTGCACCTCTTAATCAATTCTTAAGTCGCCATAGAATTACCTCATATATGTTAAGAAAAATAGGTGCCAATCATGCTTCCAGAGTACATGGAGGTAGGAATGATTCCTGCCGTCAATATTTATAGCAATTGGCATGTAGGCATAAGATAGACCATACTTCATCAGTTGAACATTATGGTGTGATGAATGACAGACCAAATACCCAGCACCTAAACAAGAAAATAGTGAGGTCGAGAATATCATTGACATATATAATTACTAATTGCTTTTATCCCATTTAGAGTTGGACCCAGACTCAGATGGGGATGAAGATTCAGACGAGGACTCAGATGCGGTATCGTTAAAAATTGTTTTTTTTCTTTTAGCCTCAGATAGTGTACAATTTCTCTGAGAAATATCTGGGTTTGCTATCAAGTTTATAATATCCTGCTGAATCTCGGGTTTCACTATCTCCAGTAATTGGCAGAGAGAAATCTGGATTTTTTTATCTAATACTTGCTTAACAATATCAAATACCACTTTATCGGTAATGGGTAAACTTTTATCTTTTTCGAAACCCAATTTTTTCGCAATCTCATAAGTGATAATTGGACATTCTGAATATGAATCAATCACATTCTGTTGCTTTAACACTAATTCAATATTATTACTTTCAGTCATTGTCTATGTTAAATTATTTATTAATACGCAATAAAAAAATACTTAAATACCCTTGTCAAAGGAAAAATTCCAGTAAAAGTGTTAATCAATACAACATCTAAATATAATACTATTAGCAAACACTTATTCGACAAGCTTGAATCTGATCACGGATTAGAAGGTTTAGTTGGTGATGATCTGATAGGCGAAGAAATAAAAGGCTTAGATTTATAGTTTCATATTAAAAGAAAGTGGCAGAGTTTAGGTGATACTAAACTAATAGACTTTAAATTCACAAAAATCCATTATTCGATTTGGTGTTGGGACAAGATTGGTTATGGATGTGTAAAGCAAAAATAAGCTTTGGACATTCTTCCAAAACCCATGTCCACCATGCTAAAATTGTAATAAATGGTATAAGCATTCCATTATTCAATGAAGATTTTAACAAAGCCAGCTTTACTAAAAATAATTTATCTAAATCAACGGAATCTAAACCTGGTCTAGCTCAAGAGGAGGTTATGAATATAATTAACAAAATTCTCTCAAATATTGGAGATAGGCCCAAAGGGTCATTGCTTTGCAACATACCTTCTACACATCTACCATCCAGAAGATTAAATGACAATGTCAAATATTCTACAGATGCTTCTTCTAATTTAGACACTTCAGATAGCGATTCAAGTAATTCTTCTACATCTAGTTCAGAAATAGAAGTTACACATGCGCATAAGACTAGAGCAGTAAAGAAACCCCCTATTCGAAAGCGTAAAGTAAAAGGTAAAGTTAATTATTAAGCTTGATGATCTTATATATAGCACAAAGTGAAGTAAATCACATCATGTTATAATGGGCCTCGGGGACAATGTCATATGTAAATCCAACATAAGCAAATCTTAGTCTGGGTTATGATCTATTAAATCACATGCGGTAGCAATATTATGTGTGTCTTGGATGAATCAATCAATCGCTATAAAATAATACCCGAACTTATCATGTTTTTGCTCAAACTTTCTAGCATATTCTCAGTAGCATATAGGTAGTATTTGGCCTATATATCGAAGTTACTATAGAAGTTTCTGTAATATAAGGGATGATATGTTAGCCTTGCTACTTCTACTAATAAAATGGAATAATTTTGTTAATGATCGATGATATGCGATTTACCT